CGGGTATTAGTCTCGTTTCACTCGCGAAATAGATCGGGTCTTAGCCTCTCTAAATCATTGAGCTGGCTCGGGTCTTAGCCTCACCAATTCGATTTGTATGATCGAATCTCACGACTCACAACACACGGGTTGAATAAACGTTCTAGTCTATTGACTCATCTTATTTCTCCATATCGAAAATAATGCATACATAGGGGTATTTATAGATCCTAGACTAGACTAACCCTACTCCAAATAAATCTCTATTATCTATGCAGTAAATAAATCCTAGATCTACTAAATCTCTAATTAAAGCAATTAAATATTAAATAGCCTATACATTCTAGATACTATTGTGCAAGAAGGAAACTAAATATATCAAAGTCCTAAACTGACTAGATCTTGATCTTGCTTGGCTTGCACTCCAAACAATTCCAAACACATGCCCAATTAATATCGGCCGCCACTCTCGCGCACCGCCCTATCGCACGCCTAGTCCTTGTCGCGCGCGGCTTTGCGCGCGCGCACCTCGCACGCGTCATTCCTCACGCCGCCTTTGCCTTGCCTAGTCCCGCGCGGACTAGGCTTCTCGTACCTGCTCACCACGCGCGCGCCTTCTTGCGCGCTACCTCTTCGCGACCACCCTTGCGCGCGTATGCGCCCTGCACCTCCTATTCCTTCCGCGCATAGGCCTGCGCTCGCGCCTGTCGCCCACTCGCGCGCTATCGCGCGCCTACCACCTCGTCTGCTAATCCCACGCGCGTATGCCCCAACATTCGCGGCCTGCTCGCCTACCGTGCGTCCGCGTACGCCCATCGCTACCCGCGTACTGGCCACCCGCTCTCGCGCATCACCGCCCGATGCGCGTCCTTCGCCCGTTCGACCCTCGGTCACCCCCGACCATCCTTCGGCCTCGACAACCACTTCCGTATCAGCCACCAACGGCGTCGTGCCGTTTAACGACCGAATCACAAATATCCTCGGCAATTCTAACCAAACTGAATATGCTTAATAATCTACTGAATATATCACATGAAAATGCACGAGAATAACGAACTTAATATATATCAAGCAAGTAAGTACGGCCCGTGGTGCGCTACGTGCGCAACCACGTCACCTTGGCTGTAACACCGCAAACATGACTTATCATCCGAACATTTAAGCTAATTTAAACATGATATTGCAAATAAAGGCTAAACATGCAAGAATAGTTTGGAGAATATAACTTATAACATGACATGGTCGGCACGGCTACGGCTTATCACACATAACACGCATGCACGCTACTAATAAAATTAAACTTAATAAACATGCTAATCTCGGACAACAATCGTCGGGAGTTACCTCTTATTTAGCCCTAGAGACTAAACTTCTCGAACTCCCCTGCGTGCGTGCGTTGTCGTGCGATGGCTTGCGGTGTGGCGACGAACCACTACAACACTTGAAAATGCTCGCGTACACCTGACCGATGCGTGATGTGCTGACTGTCGTGGGAGAACTCCGGTTATGCGAGCGATACTTGCTGCTTGCGATTAACCGTGCGGTACTTGGGCATGGCCTTGCTTGCACGACAATCGTCGTGCGATAGCTACTAGCCGTGCGAGTAATATAGGCTAAGATGCTTTGCTGAATTTTTCTAAGTGTTGGGAAAATATGCTTGAACTTAGCATGCAAAGAGGATGAAAAGGTAAATTTCCACTATCACCTCATAAACATATAAAACCGAAAGGAGAGGCTAGGGAGGAACATATGGTCAATGCTTAGGACACCTTCCCTTCATGCAACAAGGCTTGGAACACTTGGCAGTACATGCAAGATGATGCCAAAGCTTCTTACCTCATAAGGTCACGTGAATGATGCCAACAAAAGGGAAGAAATGCTTGAACAAATACTCACTACATGTGCACGGCATTTAGCATAAAACAAAAGAGGAAATTTGAACAAATGCACTAAAATCCATCCCACACTTACACGGCACTAGAGGACAATGAGGAAAGAATCTCTTGAACAAAACACTAGCAAAAGGACAATGGAGGTGCACGGCACAAAGGGAAAGGTGGGGGAGAATCTTGGACCAGACACACTCCAACATACACACTACATGCACGGCATCCGTGACTTGGAAATGAAAAGGTTCTCCACCACTTGAATGGTGCACGGCAATTAGGAGGAAATTTGCTGAATTTCCACACGGCTTTAGCTACTAATTAGTTGATTAATTACAATTAATCACAAATTAAAGCTTAATTTAATTAATTAAGCATAACACATAATTACCAAAATTATTTCGAACGTAAACGGTACGTCGAAAACAATTTCTGGTAATTTCGACTGAAATAACTGAAAATTAATTAATTCCAAAAAATAATATCGGAACTAAAAACATAATTTATACTGATAAATAGTCGGGATATTACAATCCTCCCTCCTTACAAAATTTCCGTCCTCGGAAATTCAGAACATAACTGAAAATACATGAAATTACATCAAAACTGAAAATCTGAAAAACGAGCGCGAATATCGGACTCTTCCTCCCAAGTAGCTCCGTGGCGATCCCACTGAATGCGCACGAGGGGAATATCTCGCTTCTGGAGCCGACGAACATGACGGTCCAGAACAGCTACCAGTCGCTCCTCGTACGAAAGATCTGACTGAACCTGAATATCTGAATGAGGAATGACATGATCGGGGTCGCACACATACTTACGCAACATTGATGCGTGAAATACATTATGAATGCCTGATAACTCGTGAGGTAGAGCTAAACGATACGCGACCTCACCTACTCGTTCGAGAACCTCGAACGGACCGATGAATCGAGGGTGCAGCTTCCCTCTCTTTCCGAATCGCACAACTTCGCGAATCGGACGAACTCTGAGAAAGGCTGGCTCGCCAACCTCGAACTGAATGTCTCGTCGATGATGATCGGCGGAAGATTTCTGACGACTCTGAGCTGTCTTGAGTCTCTGCCGGATCAACTCAACCTGATCTGCTGTCTCCTCGATCAACTTGGGACCGAGTACTCGTCGCTCTCCGACGTCGTCCCAATAGAGAGGGGAACGACACTTGCGAACGTAATGTGCCTCGTAAGGAGCCATCTGAATAGAAGAATGATAGCTGTTGTTATACGCGAAC